CAGAGACAGCTGACCCAAGCTAGTGGGACTCTGGACTGACAGCTCAGGAGCCTGCATGGGACCAAATTAGGCGCTCTGAATTAGAGAGACAGTTGTGTGGCTTGGTCTATTTATGGGGCCCCTGGCAATAGGAGCAGGATTTATCCCTGGTGCATGGACTGGCTTTTTGGAGCCTATTTCCTTATGGAGAGATACCTTGTTCAGCCTTGATGCAGGGGGAGGGGCTTGGTCCTGCCTCAACTTGATATGCCAGACTTTGTTGACTCCATGGGAGGCCTTACCCACTCTGAGGAGTGGATGGTGGGTGGGGGGAGCAAAAGGAGGAGAGGAAGGGAAAACTGTGGTTGGTATGTAAAATGAAAAATAAAAATAAAAAAAGAGCTGTGTTACTTACAAGTGGTCTGGTCTGTACAAGCATTCTCTACCACCAAAACAGGAAATACACATCAGCATAGCTGTTTCCTTTGGTACTATTCCTAGTAGTTGAGATATGGAATAAACCTAGCTGCCACTTAGCAAGAAAATGAATGAGGACTATATGGAGAATATATACAATGGAGTACTTACTAGTCAGCCAAATTGAAGAATGAAAGTCTTTCTTTTAAACAGGAATAAAAGGACTTGAAGGAGATCATGTTAAGCAAGATATGCCAGACATAGAAAGACCATGTCATGTTTTCTCTCCTGAAATTAGAAGAGGGGCTATTAGAGATTAAGAGAGGGGCCTCTGAAAGGAGGGAGAGAGAAGAGGGCATTTGAGGGTAGGAGAGAAGGGAGATGTCACAAATGCACTATATATGCTTTATGGAAGTACTACAGTGAAAGAAAATTCATTTACCTAATTAATATGTTAATAGAATACTGAAGAAATAAATTGCCTGTTTCGACACTAAATGAAAGAATTTCTGTAATATTTAATGGGTTATTTGTCAAATTTATCATTTCTTCCAAGTCTTCCAGTCATTGAAACAGGAATTTACCACTAGATGGCGCATGATAAATAGTCATCCTCTGATAGTATGAAAAGCTTTCTCTCATGGATTACTAACTCATTCATTCCATTAAGTGTGTGAAGTCTAACTTTATAATTATTTCAGTTATTTTATGAAATCATTTTCTTCTGTGTTTCCAAGATTTGTCCTTTAATAATTGTTTTCTTTTAAAATACTTCAAGGTCACAGAAAAGTTGAAAGAGTAACAAATGAATATCCTCATATACTTATTTAGATTTAACAACTCTTTATTGTCTTCATGATTTTTTTTCCAAAACATCCCGGAGTAATCGAAAAGTACTAGTTTTTCTTCTCTCTCAATATCATCACATGTCTTATAATAATAAGTCTATTGTCATATTTTAGCCTACCAATGAATTTTCATATTAATCCAATATTATCTGTATACAATCTCAATGTCTTCCACTGTCTCCAGAATATGTTAGAAGCATTTGATTTTCTAGCTATTGTTTAATCTAAACTCAAAAACCATATTCACTTACCATGTGTCTTTAATCTTTAATCTAGAACAACTTTACTACCTGCCCTCTTTAACATCTAACAATAATATTTTGAAAGGTTCAGATTAGTTGTCTTCTAGAAGATTCCACAATGTGCATTTTTCTGATTGGTCCTTCATGTTTACTTACATCTAGATTAAATATTTTGGCAAGGACACATCTAGCGGATATGTGCTGGAATTCCACCCCATTAGGAGGCACACTTCATCTTATGTAATTATTAGTATCATGGAGTTTAATGAACTAACTTGATGTATACCATATCTCTCCATTGATAATGTTTTCCTGATTTGTATTTAATCAGATCATCTGTGGTACTTGGCAATATGGTGAGTTTTCTCTAACAGTTCATCCAGCACTGGGTTATGTGTTAATGATGCTTGTCTAAGCCATTCATTACATTGGTGTTTTCTGAGTGGGGGTATATACTAACTCTGTCATTTGTTATTATTATTCTGTAAACAAGCGATTTACCTGTCCTTCTGCAGGTTGTACAAATCTCTATGAAATCAAGAACTCTTTTTTTCAATGTTCTATGGTTTATTACCATCATGTTTTATGACAAAACTGAAATAAATTGCCCAGAGTGTCAGCAGGTAGTTGTTATCCTAGCACTCAGGAGGTGGAAGCAAAAAGATGGTGGGCTTGATTCCAGTCTGGGTTATACAGTGAGACCTTGTCATGCTTCCTGCCCCACTGGAAATGAATTTGTCCAGTGAAGTGCCTTAACCCTATGTCTTGTACCTTATTGCTATGTTGTCCATCACAGTTTGAATAATTCCTTTTGCATATAAGCATACCTGGTACTTTTCCTGTACCAGGTATAGAATCAACTATTTCTCCAATAAACTAGTTTATTTTGGGGAGGAATGGTATTTAGAACCCAGTGTCTGAAAAGTAGATGCACTCATTCTTACATGTGTGTCCAATTCAGAACTATTAGAATCATTACGTGCTCTCTGTGGGCAGATGGGCTGAAATGTTTTGGAATTTCAGGAGATCATAGGTGCTGTGGGATGGTCTGTCATTTCAATCCTAACCTTTGTCTACAAATGCCCACAGAATTCTCTTCACTTTTTCAGGTTCTATATTTGTGCATCCCTTCTCCAAAAGTGAGAATTCTGTTTTCAAAAACAGTTAATTTGTTTGCTCCACCCATATATTGCACATACTGTGTGTGTGTGTGTGTGTGTGTGTGTGTGTGTGTGTGTGTGTGTGTGTGTGTCCTATAGTACAGTTTTGCAATTTACTTGTCTTAATAACATTACCAATAAGAAATACTGTATTTGTGTTTTGGGGCAGAACTACTTGGTGGTATTTGTTTAAAATGGAGGAATCTGGTATTGCTCCAAGCCTACTGATAGAGAGTATTTTGGAGTAGGTCCCTGTCTTGGAAAACAGCACTTCAGGTGATTCTATAGAATGCTTCTATTTCAACACAATGCTGTTGTAATTAAGATCATGGAATTTAGGTTAGGAAGGTCAGTGTCCTTGTTCTGTTACTTAATTTCTTCATTTGTGCAGTGGTGATGGTATATACTTCATACCATGGTAATATACCATGCACTTCATCACATGGTACTTGAAAAACTCCCTGGTTTAAGCTAACAGGAAATGGAACTGATTTGTTTTCTTTTAGTATAAAATTTTAAACTGGATTGTCAGGTATTTCCTATCTATAAAAAATAAATTAAGAAACGGTTTGTGTAATATTTTAGATAGTCATTCTTTTTTTTGTACAAAAAAGGGTATGCCTCTTCAATTTTTTTTGTTTCAGGTTTTTTTAAATTCTTCTCTCACATTACATTCTGATCAGTTTCCCCTCCCTCTCTTACAATGTGTCCTTCCCTGTCCTCTCCCCAAGATCCATACCCCTACCATCTACTTTCAGAAAAGAGCAGACCTCCCAGGGATATCAACCAGACATGGTATAACAATCTACAATAGTATGCTATAGTAAGAACACAGACATATCACATCAAGGCTGGACAAGGCTATCCAGTAGAAGGAAAATGGTCCCATAAGTAACACCTCTTCAATTTTAATAGTGCTATTTCATACTCCTTTTTTATTCTTCTCTCATAGTTCCTTTTCCCCTGCTCCTCCCAGTCCCTCCCCACTACCTCTCCCTTGCCTTCTCCACCCACTCCTCCTCCATTTCTATTCAGAAAATGGCAGTCCCCTCACGGATATCAACAAAACATGGCGTATCAAGTTGCAGTAAGACTAAGCACCTCCCCTTGTATTAAGGCTGGACCAGGCAACCCAGTATGAGAAATAGGTTCCCAAAAAGCCAGTCAAAACCTTAGGGTCAGGCCCTGCTCCCACTGTTAGAAGTCCCACAGGCAGACCAAGCTACACAACTGTATCATATATGCAGAGGGCCTAGGTCAGTCCCATGCAGGCTCCTTGGCTGTGGGTTCAGTCTCGGGAGCTCCTATGAGGCCAGGTTAGTTGATTCTGTGGGTTTTCTTGTGATGTCCTTGACCCCTCTGGCTCCTACAATCCTTCCTCCCTCTCTTCAGAAGGATTCCCCTAATGTTTGGCTGTGGGTCTCTGCATTTGCTCCCATCAGTTGCTGGATGAGGCCTTTCTGATAGCAATTATATTAGGATCCTGTCTGCAAATGTAGCAGAATTAGACCGTCATTCTTAAATGTACACATTCTTTAAAACAAAAGTGAAAAACTAAAGCTATCTTATAAAGGTAAGGCACATTATTGAGATGTACAATCTTTTTATTTTTATGTTAAAAGGTTAAATATATCTTTTCTTACTTCCTCCACCTGTTGGTAGTTAATTATTTGGGCAGAAATCTTATGAGAAATTTATTTACAAATGTTACCCAAAGTTAATTCTAGAAAAGGTAAACAAAATACCTATTTTATATTGTATGTGGAAGTTAGATTAGAAAGTTTTTGAAGGAGAGTGGATTATATTCTGTTCGTTTTTAAAGTTTCTGTACCTAAATAGTCTTGATCCAGGATAAGTTGATCTGCTTTTTACTGGGGAATGTAATTTGTATTATATTTTTTTCTGTGGATAGCTTCTTACTGAATTCTTCACTCACTTTTCATATTACTTATCTAGAGGAGAATGTATATTAAGCAACAGAATAGTAGTGGTCCTCAGAAGAAACTAGATCTTGTCAGTGTTCTCTGATGTCTAATAGGACTACTGCGGGAAAAGTGTATTAATGCGAGAATGTTGCTAGGAGACGGGAGAGCCAAAAGCCCAGGATGTTGTGGGGGTTCCACTGGAAATTAAGGTAATTTAAGTATGTTCTGTATCCAGAGTTGAACCCTTAAACTCTGTCCTTTGGTGAGTATACAAATTTTAGCATGCAGTGTTGAGTACGATCTGATGTTTTAGGAGGATTTGAGAGGAGAATCTTAAGGCATTTCCTTTCTTGCCGTTGGGCTAATCCCTTCTTCACAGTGCAGTTTCTTTTCAAGAGGCTGTTGCGTTGCTCCTTTCCCCTCCCACTCCTTCAGTGCGACAGCCTCAGAGCTGATGAAGAGACAGAGAGCACGCAACTGGTAAGTAGCCGAGAAAGCGTTCGTAAAATAGTTGCTAAGGCTCTGCCTTCTAAAGCAAGTGACGCATTTTGATGGGACAAGATAGCATAGAACTGTGTAGGAATTTGTCTAGTCCATAGCACCAAGAAAACGGGCTATATTCTAAAGATTCCATGCTCACTTTCCTAGTTTAAGGCTTGCTTACTAAATGAGGAATGACCCAAATGGAAGGAAATACAGAACACACATTAATTGTAAATTTTGTAAGAGGCGCCCCCCAAAAATAGGATTTATTAAAGACATTAAAATGACGTCTCAGGTTTATGATGTTTGAATTAGACATGATGAAATGATAGTTTTGATTCATTATTCAAGCTGTTCTTGGATTTGGTTTATTTTCTTGCTGTGGGGAGAACATGACAAAAATATTTTGCAGTGGAGGATAGGATACTGTACTCTACTTGTTTTTAATTAAGAAGACGGTGCGGTGACATGTCTGCATAGGAAATGATATGAAGAGGGCAGACTATAATATTAAGACTGATTGCTTTGGAGGAGAGATGAATGTGTATTGAATAGGGGAGATTAAAATTTGGTTGTAGGGTGAAAATCATGAAAAAGAAATAGCAAATATTGTGACTGTGCCTTCATTTGTAAAAATCCATTTGCTTTTTGCGTGTCATGTTGTACAGTAAAGCTAGAATGTTCTCGGTGCTTTTTTTTTTTTTTTTTTTTTTGTGTGCACATGTGGACAACTGTGTAGGTGCACCTGAACCTTTACCAGGCTTTGGCATAGTTCACTGGATTGTCTCAAAAAACCAAAAAAAAAAAAAAAAATATGGTTTTTTTTTTTTTTTTTTTTTTTTGAAAAGGAATGTGAGAACGTAGCAGAGATTCCTATGGATACAGCATTTCTGCTTGCTTCTCAGTATCCCTGAAATTGTGTGTGTTCTTTTAGGCTGATTACTGTAAGATAACAGAAAAAGAGGTGAAGTCGTATATTTTCAAATTTCTTTGGAATTCACATTGGTTTTGACACATGACCCAAAAGGAAGAAGAAAAGGGAAAGACAGATTAGCTTTGGAGTTAGATGACAAAACCACAATCAGAGAGGAATATGAGAATGAAAAAGCTTATTCGAAAGAAAGTCCTCAAAGATAAGCCATTCCCCACGTTGAACATGTCTGCTGGGGGGCATGTTTTTCAGGGGAAGGAAGCTGCATGGTGAAGGTAGAGGGAGGGGGCATCAGCAGAGCACTGCGGCAAAGAGTGACTGACGCATCCAGGGACATGTGACCATTCTCTGGTGTAGTGAAGAAACATTTCCAGGACTCCATCTTGTATAAGAAATTCTATACATCCTAACATGCAAATAATGCTGGAATCATACTGTGCTGGATAATGAGTTAATCCCGTGCAATCTTCCATTGCTATTTATTTAATATTTGCTTTTTATTGTCTTTGTTCCTAGACTTTCTTCTCTGCACTCTCATAGCTTTCCTATGTTTATTAAAATAACTCATTATAATGTTTATTATCCCTTTGTTATAAAAATACAGTATTGTATAGAATTTGGAAAGATAAAAGGTGACTATAAAGATTATGCACAATACCATAACCTTAGCATATTGCTGTCAGTCTCTTTTCTCTGCATATATGCAATTATATATAGACAAATATTCATTTAATATAAAATAAGGATCAGATGTGAAGTCTTTATTCTGCTTTAATCATTAAATATATTTTAGAAATAATTTCTCATATTTTAAAGTATCTCACAGGAATGTGTTTAGGGAATGCATAATTTTTGACTACATGGGAGTATTACTAAACTCCAAATAATAAGTGTATAAATGTGATGTTTGCTATAATAAATGATTTACTAAATATCTTTCCATATAAATCTTTGTGTACTCTCTGTTCCTTTCCTCCTAGGAAAAAATTCAGACGTGGAATTCATGGATCAAATGGTATGAATCAGTTTCAAGTTTCTTCCCTTGTCAAGACATCTTGCTTAATTTGTTTACCATATGTGATAAAAATATTAAGTCATTATCTACCTAGTTTTGTCACTTATGGTGATTTGGGGGGGCACTTCATATTTCAAAATATGTACATCTGTCAGTTTATTTTTGTGTATTCTTTCTTTTTTAAGGTATTCCTGCGCATATACATTCACCTATATTTTTTTAGAAATTTAATTAATACATCTTTTTTACAATTAACTCTGTAATCTTTATAGTATTCATTTCATATGTATGGTATAAAATGGGATCTAATTTTGTGTTTTTTTTCCAAATAGGTCACCAGTTGTTTCCGCATTATGTATTGAATAACACAACCTTCTTCCTCTGATGAGAAGTGTCAACAGCTCTTCTCCTGTTAGATAGGGTGTAGCTTTCCACAGGTCAGCCATTTTCTCTCTACTCAAGATGGTTACATTCCATAATAGTACTTTTACCTTCTTGCTACATCCAGCAGCCTGCTAAAGCATCATGTTAAGACTTTTTCCTTTCAAGAATCCTAGCTGTATATAGTTTAGAACAGTTATTTTCAAACAGGATGTGTGTGTGTGTGTGTGTATTAAATAGTTAAAATGTTAATTATTATTATTTTTTTACAAATTAGAAGTTGGTGAATCCAATGACATAGAATACTGGTCCAGATGTTATTCCAGATGTTGTTCCTTTTGGATGCTCCTGACATTCCAGTTGTGTGTTTGGAAAGTACTTCAGGGGTCAATGCTTATCCTAAGGATTTCTGTTCCTCAGGTATTTAGAGAATTAAAGCTGTGTGGATTTGGTTCCTGGAATTTTCTAGAGGGAAATGTAAGAAATGTATGAGGTGAATAAATGTTTTCAATTATGTCGCTAGAAGTAATATGATCTCAGAATTTAAAGGATGGAGATGAGTCTCGATAGGTGCTACCACTGTCATTATCTCTTCAAGACAGGAAAACACCACTATGCTCCATTTCTTTGTACTGCAAGTGGAAGGGTCAAGACAGGAAACATGGAGGCTTTTACTAGGAGGTAAGTTAAATGGTAACAGAAGTATTTGACAGTTAAAAATCACCTGCTGTTCTCTGTTGCACCCTTTACTCTCCAGCACAGCTTTTCTCCCACCCAGCGACTTCGAACCACAGCCACTGGCCTTTTCTGACTTTGGAAGGAAAAGGAAGGTAAGTAGTGGGCTGCTTTCTTTGCCTGCTGTTACTGCAAGGGACTCTTTTGGCTCATAGACACAGCTCCAGTCATTTCCTGACTTGGCGACATTAGGCTGTGATTTGTTTATGACTGAGGCTGGTTCCCCTGGCAACAGGAGCTCGCCAGAGCATGTGCATTGCCTCATCTGCAGTGGCAGAATGCAGCTGTGGGGCCTTGGGAGGAATCTTGGGGGCCCTAGTGGCTGGAAGAGGTATTCCACAGACATGACGTCAGTTTTTCTTTCCCTAAACTGCGACTGTTATTGTACACAGAGCATTGAATTTTTAAATAATCCTCAGAAGACTTTGAGATTCTCTTTTCTTTTCCCTCCCAGTACAATCACAGTCTGTAGTTTTACCCGTGACCATGATATTTTTCCAATTATTAAGGTCCCAAATGTCCTTGTGTGCCTATAGGAAATAGGTGGCCTGGTTTCAAACCTCTATCTCTTTCTTGCCAGTTGCATGACCACAGCATAATTCTTTAGTCTTCTTGTGCCTCAGCTTCCTCAGCTGTAAAATGGGAATAATAACAGCACATGTAGGAAAAGTAGTTCATATTAACTGTTAAAAAATGTTCTTTATTGTTATTTGTAGATGTTAAAGGAAAATGCCTGGAACCAGACTTCTGCCTGCATTGTGCAACTAACTCGTCCTAATACCCATACTGACCAAATGAGCGACACGTATTTACCCTCACAGAATGCAAACACCTCTCACATAGCACACAGATGACCTAGAGCAGAATGTTCCACTACCCCTGAGGCTCATTCGTGTATATCACAGCAAAAAGATTGGCCCCTTATTACATCCCTTCCATATAACTGGGCTCTTTTAGATAAACAAAGGTTCTCTCCAACTCAGAGACCAAGCTAAAGGACATTTATCAGCTCCACATGATGAGACTTGCCTCACTGTGGAGACAGTGCCTCTCACACAGAAAATCTCAACATTGTAGCTCATCTTCACATCACACAGATCCTGTCAAGAACAAACAAAGTATACAGACTTCATTTATACAACACAGATTTCTTCCCAAGCACATAGATTCTCCTCAGAAAATTTAAGTACTCCCCCCAGCAAGCCTCTTCCCACAGCAAATCACCCCATGTGTGCTCCACCAACTGAACTCCTGGCTGATGAAGTTCATGTGAAACAGACCTCCCTCACATCACTCTAACCCTTGCAAAACCAAGCAGCCTTGCCCACAACACACAGACTCTTGCCACATCATGGAAACCTTCACCACGGAACACAGACTGTCCACAGCACAGCTTTACCACATAGTGCACATAGTTTCTCCACGAACACAAACATACAACACAGCTAAAATCCCTTGCCTTGGCACAAAAACTCACCCAAAAAACAAACTATCCCTCTGACAAATAAATGAATGCCATGTAACAAAGATTGTTCCAACAGAACACAGGCTTATATCTTACTACACACACACCTTCCATGGTGCACATTTATCCCATGAAACATAGATTAAATTTATGGTACAGAGACATTCCCAATAGCTCTGAGCATGCTTACTCCTCCACCACATAGCAATACAGAAGTATAACCCGAAGCACGTAGATCATGCCTTGTTAAACAAGATTTTAATTTAATAAACACAGTTTTACTACAATGTACCAATTCATCTCATGATAAACATACATCGCAAACCTGCATTGCAAACACCTGCCTCAGAGGCACTCATTTGCCACACATTCCAGATTTGCAGAATTACTCTCTAAGGTACTTAAGTCCCCTCCCTACAGTATCCACACTCAACCCACAATCCAGGTGTAAACTATAACATGTGAACACACATCTCAGAAGACCACACTCCACTGCCACAATGCTCAGAATTCCCTAACAGCAGTGTGTTTTCTATACATTTCATCTCACAAAATCAACACTTCTTACAGTGGTTTTACAGTCTAGACACATGCCCCCAAACACATGAAGCCAGTGTTTAAGTGACTCTCAGATTTACCACAAGCACCCAGACTGTTTCACTGTTACCTACAGAGCAAGCTGTGCCTAGCATATGCATAGAAAGAACTCTAATAGAATGCACAGAATCTACTGTTAGTATACATACTTGTCTCATAACTTTTATAAATACTTTCAAACAGTGACACTCACTTTAAATGTACAGATAAGCCAATCAGGTCACAGACTTGCCCTATAATATACTCAATCATAATTCATATGTCTTAAAAGTTATAGACGTACACGTGAATGCATAGAGTTGTTTTACATTGTGCAGTTACAACACTTACTTTATAATGCAAGTAAACAGCAATTGTGTAGACATATATACATATGTTATATATATGTATTATAAGACATAACATACATATATAACACATGTATTAACTCCACTTGCAAAGATTTCATTGTAGAGGACAGACATACTTTACCATATCAATGAGCTACAATTCTGGCCAACAGCAGAGATACAGCTTGATATCCATTAAGAGCAAGGCCTCTGGACCCAGGCTTCCTGGGCTTGCCTCCAGATTCCATCCTTTCCTAATTGTATCACCACAGGTAAGTATATTTCTTTGTTCTTTAATTTACTCATCTGTAAAACAAAGGTGACAATAGTTACTTTGAAGGATTATCATGAATACAAAAACAAGTTAAGCTATGTTTAGTATAGTAGTAGAGTGCCTGTTACCTAGAAACTGTTAAATTTGTTCGTTTACATTACTGTCACCTACCTCTTTCCTCCACCCCGCCATCTTTACTCAAGCAAAGGTGCTTATTCTAAGTATCTACAATAATCCAACAACATAGATTTGCCCACAGTACAGAGATTAGACCTGGAACATACAGAAATATCATACTACATACAGACAACACTCAAATATGCTTTATACCCTACAGAGCACAGACAGCACACTAAATTAGATGCCATTCACAACATAAAACTTTACAATGGAATTAAGAAGTTACAATGGTCCATAATGCCTATGCTTACTTCCTATGTACACATTCACCTCACAACACGTAGACTGGATGCACAATACCCAGCTCTACCCTACATAGAAAAATACATGACATACAGTTTATATACATACCATGAACTTATATTATGTACTGTTTGACAATCATCCCATTATATACAGATATTTGTCCCAAAGCATGTGGATTTCCATGCCATTCACAAATGTGTTCCTAAATGCACACTCCTAAGTTTAGAGCATCACATTTTTTTTCGAGACAGGGTTTCTCTGTGTAGCTTTGTGCCTTTTCCTGGAACTCACTTGGTAGTCCAGGATGGCCTCGAACTCACAGAGATTCGCCTTGGCTCTGCCTCCTGAGTGCTGGGATTAAAGGTATGTGCCACCACCGCCCGGCTGAGCATCACACTTTAATGCAGAGACCCCTCCTGTAACACATTTACTCTTATTTTATGTTTGACTCATAAACAACTATATGCTTTATATTTCATTACTTAAACATAAATCTGATTTATATTAAAAAATTCTCACACATATAATCACATACCCTGTACTACACAGATTAACTTTTTAAAAACTTAAATTGTGTGCATATGGGTGTTCTGCCTGCATGTATGTCCATGCATCATATATGTGCCTGGTACCCACAGAGGGCAGATGAGAGTTTAAGATCCCCTGGAACATGAGCTATGGACATTTGTGAGCTTCCCTTTTGGTGCTTGGAATTGAACCTGGGTCCTCCAAAAGAGTGGCAAGTGCTCTTAACTCCAGAGCCTCTTCTCCAGCCCCACTCCAGCATAGCTTTCTAAGGTCTAAGTCCTATCAAGTAGAGTTATCCCCTTAAACACAGATGTTCTTAAATACACTACATCTTTATCACAAAACAGCATCCATGCAAAGTCATTATACAACTTTCAGGCTTGCATTTAAGCAACTAGACACATAAAAAGCAAAGCCATGTTTACAGTACAAAAACCCAGCCCACTGTGCCCATTGTGGCACAAAGCAAAGATAAGCCTCGGCTCACATAAGCCCAAAACAGAGAACACAAAACTTGGTTCACCAAAGTTAGACCAACTCTCTATTACGAAGCTTGAACTCAGAGATCCAACTGTTTAGGCTGGAATCCCTAACACATCAATATTAACTTTATGATCTAAGAAAGTTTTTTTTGACTGCTCTGTGACTTTTCTCACCTGCAAATTTAAAATAATAATGATTTCTATGCTAGACAGCTGCTAAGAGGAACAAAGGTGTTAATGTTTATAAAGCCTTTACACCAGTACCTGGTAAAGAATTGCTGTTATTCGCATCTGCTGATACTGCTGTTGTTAAAATTATGCTATAAACTGGACAATAATGGTAAGATTCAGCCTAAAACAACTAAAAACAACCTCCTACACAATACACTGTCCTCCATAAAGCACACAATCTAATCACAACCCATACTTTGACCACTACATCTGTATTGACTGTACTTAACTGACATCTAAATGCACCTACCACATAGTATCTACACAGCATATATACTCACCACACGACACACAATACAGTGCACAAATACAGAAATTCATCCATATAAAGACTCATCTAATTTTTACCAAATACTCTTACACATGCTCCACTCTGTGTGTGTGTGTATGTGTGTGTGTGTGTGTGTGTGTGTGTGTGTGTGTGTGTGTGTGTACACTCCAGCCCAGTATACCACATCAGCTCTGCAACTCAAATAACTCAGCTTAAAATCCTTGAAATAATCCGCAGCACATAGATTTCTCCAAAATACAGAAGTCATCACACAACATAAACCTTGCTATAATGAACAGACTAGCTTCATAACTCAAAAAATTAGGGTCTGCCCTATAACACTCAAGGTTCTACTTAGTATTCAAATATACTATTCTCATGAAATACCGTCTTGTCTGTACAATAGAATGCATCATGAACACCAGCATATTGCCCAACATACATTAAATATCTCATAATGCACATATATATCCCATACATTGAACTATTTCACCTCACCCAGACATTCCTTATATCATGTAAATTGAATCCCAGCTGCCAGATGCACCATACAACACAGAGTAAGTGCCCTGTAATCAATAGTATCTCACTACAGCACGTGGATTGGCAGCATAGAATAGCTTTATTTGCTGTAACTTTTGCCATAGAAGCACACTTTACAAAAGACATAATGCACAGATATGCTCTGTAGTACATAGATGTAATGCAGATCAAGACATGTCCTGGAATGACCAAATATTCATATTGTACAAAGTCACACCACAAATACCAGATTAGCCTGCTAATCAGTGAATAAAATTCACAACACAGAGACGTGCTTTGCAATATATGCACACACACACAGATTTTACTATTAACACACAGGCTGTCTCCACAAAATGTTTCCTTACCTCTACAAAAATCTAGGCTAGCATCAGAAGAGACAATGAAGAATGTGCAAAGAATCAAAAAGGCACAAACATACTCTACTTCAACCAGAAAATATCCTCACAACACATAAAGAAAGTGGACAAAGCACACAGCACCTAAACTCATAGCACCCAGACTCATGTAAAACACAGAGACTGATCCTGTCATACCCAGCATTGCCCACTATCACCTGACTCATTAGGCTCCCTCCAGAAAATCCAAACAGGAGTATACAGGCATAGCTTTTAATTATACCTAAAATTAATGGCTAGTCTCTGAAAATATCTTCTTTACAATGCAAACACTTCCAAGCACGTAGAAAGTCTGGATAATTCAAGGACACTTTCTAAAATAGTAGATGTGCTTCACCATATTAAGAGTTGCTATAGCAGAGTTATACACGCTCCTATGCAAATAGAATCATCCCTTGAGAATAAAAGTAATTCCATGAAACCTGGTCTTTTCCTCAAATTTCCTGGATTTGTCCCATAATAATACATGATCTCCAGACAACATCCACTAGTCCTAAAACATAGACTCTTGATGATATAGCTGATAATGATGGGTGGGGATGTAGCTTAGTAGGTAGAATGCAAGAGGTGCTGGGTTCCATTCCCAGCACTGCATAAAACTGTCTATGGTGATGTGTATCTGTAACCATAGTGCTCAGGAGCATCAGAAGTTCAAGATCATCCCTAGCTACATAGCAAGTTCAAAACCAACCTGGGATGTGTGATAGCCTGTCCAAAACAAACAAAAATCAAACTAAATAAACAATAAGTCAAAACAATAACAATGAAGAAATACTTGGGAAAATTCACATAAAGCACTGTGATGCATAGACCTGACTTCCACATCTCTTTCTCATTGTAGTATACTGACCAAGTGTCACCCTGAGACATCCAAATCAATACATGAGATTCAGATCTGCTTTATAACAACATGCCTGCCCTGCACAGCCAGAAACATCAGAAATTATTCAAATGCCTTCAACCAACTAGACTTGTTTAGCAACCTAGACTTGTCCCATAATATGTGGTAAATGCTCACAGTTGAAACACTACTCACAACTGCAAACTGACCACAAACCCATTTTTTTTTTGCTTTTAAAATATCAAGAGTGTCTCACAGAATATAGAAACTGGGCAAAGCACAGAAAAATTTACAGTACAGTGGTATATAATGTGCAAAATAGCTTGACTCCCTCCATAATACCCAAAATGAACAGGTATGCTCCCACAATATATAGATTGTTTCTCCAATAAAAAATATTAGCTTCACAGAGCACAGGCATACTGACAGCTATTAAGTAAGGTCACGCACTCAAAAGTACGGTTGCATAATGATGATGATGATAATAATAACAACAATAAGACACAGATCTACTCTGCAGCACCAGACTAGCTCTGTAATATACTCCCTCTCCCTCTCCCTCTATCCAAACTTGTTTTACAGTAGAAGTCTGAAGTGCTGGAAAACATTAAGATGAAGTTCTTAACATATGTATCATCCAAATTCATTGAATACCTTGCCTTACCACACAACACCTGGGCTCCACCAACTGTCCAGGCTTAGCCTGTTAAGATGCATCTCACAGCACAATTATACAATTGCATTTTCCACAATATACTATCCACACCTACATCTCAGCTCTGTAAAATTCTTTTACTACACAAGCATTTTCTTTTGATTGCATAGAAATCTTGGACAACAATTATCAAAAAAGCCTTCAGTAATCTTCACATACATACACTGTGCAATATTGCCATTCCCTCCATAAGACTGAAACAGCAATGATGTTAATTTATCCTGTGACATGCATGTTTACCCATGACACCCAGAGTTACTCCCTACCAACTAAGATACCTTGTACAATGAATCTAACCCAGTGAGACTCATACTGTCCCCACAAACCAGACTTTCATTGCCTATTCTAGTCTTACAACTAGGTACACAAACCAGCTCCCTAAAATAAAATGTCCTACATTCCACAAACTATTTGTATGTGGACGCTTAACAGACAATGAGAATTTTGACACTTTAACACAAAAGTTAGCCTCATAATAAACAGAAAGAATTGAAATCAAACAGAAGAATCTTACAGTAGGAAGGCAGACACCAGTACTCCACATTACAGAAACTCATACATGC